CCTGAACGTCCTCGTCCCGCTGATGAGCATGAGCAGATGGTGGATGATAGTGCAGCAACAGAAAGCAGAACAAAAGCACCCAGAACAGGTCCAGCAGATAGCCCTACTTCTTTGTATGCACCGCATTTTGCAGGTGGAATTCAACAGGTGGAGGAACGGCCTGTGGATGAGTTTCAATGGGAGCAAGAGGTTGCAGAGTTTGAAGGTGATGAGGAGATGCTCTTGCTAGAAGAAGGACTTTTCTCAGATGAAGTGCTTGATGAGGGAACTCCACCTGAGGTGGGGCCAGAGGAGCTGGAGAAGATTGAGGCTGCAGCAGGACAGGAGGAGATACAGAGGCTGCTAGAGATGGAGGTGCTAAAAGAGCCAAGCAGCTCAGATCTTGAGAATGGCAGTATTCTCACGACAAGGTCTGTTTTTGACTGGCGAGTTCGAAGTGGAAGATGGAAAAGAAGATGTCGGTTTGTAGCCCGGGAGTTCAGAGGTCATGATCAGACCACTTCAGAGACGTTTGCTCCAACTTCAAGTTTGGCAGCTACAAGGCTTCTTTTGGCAACACATGCCATCTTGCAGTGGAAGCTGAGCTTCATCGACGTCAAAGATGCCTTTTTGTTGGTACCTCAAACCAAGCTGGTGTTAGTAGAACAACCTGCCTGGTGGAAGCCCGAAGAGCTTGAAGGTGCTGCAAATGGAGCTAAGAGGTATTGGAGATTGGCTCGATGTTTGCCAGGTCAACGTGATGCAGCATCTCGCTGGTTTGACTACCTGAAGATGGTACTTGAAGAGTTGGGGATGGAGAATCACTTATCCCTACCGTCACTCTTTCGACATAAAGAGAAAGACCTGGGCATGGTGTGTCATGTGGATGACCTGATAGTGGCAGGAAGAGAAGATGATTTGATATGGTTCCTGGACAAGATGAGGAGCAGGTTTGTGATCAGCGAGTCAGGCACGCTCCCACAACTAGATCAAGATGCCAGAGAACCTGTTCGTTGTTTGAAGAAACGCCACTACTTCACTTCTGAGGGCATTGTGATTGCACCACATGAGAAGTATGTGCCAGGACTCATTGAGCTGTACAACCTGTCCCAGAGAGCAGGCAAAGCGACACCAGAAAGCACCCAGATGGACCTGGAAGGCTCGCCTGAAGATGTGCTGACAGGTGGGGATCAGCATCGATTTCGGTCGGCACTTGGAACGCTTTTGTACATCTCCCAGGACAGGATTGACATCCAGCACTCAGTTCGAAATTTGAGTCAGTTCATGGCCAGGCCCACCAAGAAGGCAGAGAGTGAATTGAAGCATCTTATCCTCTACCTCAAGAGGACAGAGCAGTATGGGATTTTGCTTCCATACACGAAGTACAAGAGCAAGAAAGCAGAAATTCTTCTCCAACCAGACAGTATGGGCGATGTTGATGAGTTGGAAAGTTGGAGTGACAGCGACTGGGCAGGAGATCGGTCATCGCAGAAGCGAAGAAGGCACAGTGTAAGCAGCGTGATGATCTTCCTGAATGGGTGTTTGGTGTCAGCCTGGTCGAGGTCACAGAAGAGCATTGCTCTATCTTCATGTGAGGCTGAGTTTCTTGCGTCCGCAGGTGGGGCCGCCGAGGCATTGCAGTTGAAAGAGCTGTGGCAGTTCCTAACATCCAGAGAAGTGATGATCAAAACTATCACAGACAGCTCATCCTGCAGAGCTTTCACAGAAAGACTCGGTGTCGGCCGCCTCAAACACATCGACACAAGATACTTGTGGATGCAGTTGGAGGTCAAGAAGAAGACCCTCAGAATGGAAGGAATTCCTACTTTGTGGAACATGGCTGATTTGGGCACCAAGCGTTTATCACGCCAGAGAAGAGAGTTCCTGATGTTCTTGATAGGCGTGATGGAGATGAACGTGGAAGGTGCCGAACAGTTCTTTTGCCATGTTGGTGAAGAGACTTTCCATGAGGAGGTTAGAAAGAAGAACTTGGCTTTGAAGATGAAGGAGGTGAGAAGTGAAATGATTTCAGCTTTGGTCGAAGATAAGAACGAGACGAAGGTGAAAGTTTCAAAGTCAATGGTGAAGATGGTGACCTTACTCCTTTTGAACCCCGGAGCCTATGGACAACAAGAAAATGAAAGTGAGGAGAATTTCACCACTGGCGAAAGTAAGAGCCAGATCTTTCAGGTGATGGGATGGCTAACCTACATCCTGATGTTTGCGATCTACACGATCTTGGTGATGAGCTTTGGCATGTGGGTTGGCTACACCAAATGGAAGATGATTTCAAGATGGCTCAGAAAGGTCAAGCCCTACATACAAGGTGACTGGTTCGTTTATTTCTACCGAGACGAAGACCAGCAACCTACAAGATCTGGACTGGATCTGAGAGAATGGGCAGTGAGAGCTTCGGTTGAAGCCACTGGTGGTGAGTGGATCAGAGAACCACCCCCTGCACTGCCAGAGCCTTTGAGGAGAAGGCGAGGAGGTTCACGAGTTGGAAGACAGCGTGAAGGTCCAGAAGGAAGCTTTGATGAAGAAGAGGAGGTTTCGCAGTCAAGCCGAGGACGAAGAAGGCCCAGAGAGGAAGAAGGAGAGGAAGAAGAAGAGAGGAGTCAGAGCAGAGATGATGTGATGGTGGACCAATTCCTGACGGATTGGGATCCGGTGCTCCAACGGCTACGGCCGTACAGAATTTTGAACTCCAGCAATGATGCCGAGAGTGGAGAGGAGTTCTTTGTGCTTAGCCCGAATCATGGGTACAGGAGGCTGTACAGGCCTACAGCTTCAGAAAGAAACGAGGAGGCTGAAATAGCAGAAATGGAAGTGGATGAGAGCAACAGAGGCTACAGTGAAGTGCCCTTAGAAGGTACAACTTTGCCAGATGACGACTACTTGTGGGAAGCCTACGAGAGAGATGAACCACCAGAGGCCCTCGATTGGAGCAAGTTGGAAAATTGCATTCGCTATTTGAGTGAAGATGAGGAGAGAAGAGCTCGAAGATTGCTGGCAACCGGCTTGTTCTCAAGAGAACAGTTCACCCAATATGTGCAGGCAAGGCTGACCTGCAAGTTTGGTGAGTGGTACCCATTCCTGAGGTTTGACCATGCCTTGGGATGGGATGAAGAATACAAGCGAGGATTCTCAGCTTGGTGCGTGGCAGTGATGTCACGACAATGGGAGGACAACTGGCGTGAGCGCGTAGCTCGATACGCCATGGAAGGAGAGATCTAAAAGCAAAGAAGAAAAAGGTTGCACAGCAGTGACAACTTTTTAGGTGGGGTGACAGAAGTTTGCATCCCATGGACATGACGCATGACTACCTTGAACCCGCGGCCTAAGTGGCCCAAGCCCGCTTCGCTCGAAAAAGGAGCGAGTGCTGTTTTTGTCAAATTTGTTCTGCCAAACACGGGTGGTAGGACATTCAGGCAGGCTCACAGGGACGGGATACGTGAGCCCTACGAATCCCCTCGCGACCATTTCTGAAGTGTTGAGATCGCTACCCATGGAAGAACAGCAAAGAAACCGTTCACTCCGACACGGTGGCATAGTCGGCTCACAGCTACATGGCGCATACTTCCATGCACAGCTAGAAAAGATACCACAGTGAAACATTCCCGTGCCAAGTGGTAGCGATATGAGGGTAGATCCGAAACTCTTCACAACGAGCGCCTTTCAGCCCGTAGCGATGCCATTGTCACTGGAACATGGCGCGTCGCCGAGCAGGCGCTGGACGGACACGCGCACGCACGCACACACACACACACACACCCACACACACACACACACACACATGGCGCGATCATTGTGAAACAGTTTGCACCATGCTTTACACAAACATCCGGCTGCGATTGCAAGCTGAGGTGTGAGGTGTTTTGTCCGTGTTTTTCGATGACCGTGGCAGTAGCGTCGTGCCCTCGGTGGTGACGCATTCTTGGAGGGGCGCCGTTTCACTGTTAACTGTTAGCTTTTGTGCTTCGGAGGCTGGGAATCATAGGCTTCGTTAATTGGGAGCAAGGCTGGGTGGTTCTTGCCACAAGGTTCAGATGTCTATATACGCATGCCTCGCCAAAGATGGACTTACACTTCCAAAGCATTTACATGGCCAATGTGTGCTCATCATGGAACTCACATGAAATTTGACATGGAGGGGTGGAACACGCACATAAACCTGCATGCAAAAACCTTGCCTTGACCGAACTATTTGGCTGGATTTGGGTTCCAAAGTGCTCGGCGCACAACGACAAACCCAGAAGCTTGCTGATCAAAGAGGCGCCTGCGACAACTTCGCACTTCATGTTGAGAGGTCAATTGCCCTGGCACTTGATTTCTAAGTCTACTTCTGTTATTCTTGGGGCTCCATTGGTTCCTTGCTGGCTCAGGGCGAGGTCTGCTCAGCTTGCTTGGTTGGGCTAATGCAAGCATAGTACCATTGTCAACGCCCGTGACGAAGGTGGCCCATTACGAAAAAACCTGGCTGAGGCGCTGGCCACATGGAGGTGCGCAGCTCCGAAAATGGGAAAACATGAACGACCTGCCAGAGCGAACCTTTTTAAAACGGTACTTGAAAGATCCGTAGGAATCCTTCGGAACGAAGTTGGAAGACACTTTTCTCGATTGGTTTCGATTCGTTAGTGTTTTCCTGCCAAGTCTCGCCAGTGAAGCTTGTTTGATGAAAAATGGCTGACTTGATCGCAGGAACGAGAAAACACAATTCGTCACCAGGGTCAGTCGCCAGTGATTTCGCCTCAGGACTTGCAGAATGTGTATTTGGATTTTCATGATGTTTCAGTGCTGACCTCGGAGTTTCCATTCATCTAGCAACTGGACAGTTTCCAGGCAACCCTTGCAGCTTTTGAAAGTGCAGCTAAGGCCGGCAAAGGTGATGAAATCACGGCAAACTTGCCGCATTCCGAGCATGAGCACCTGAAGTCCTGGGATAAGAGGAGGCGTGCAATGTTTGTTTGTTTGTTTGTTTGTTTTAGTAAAGTTTCGATTCGATGGGGCGTATGTCATGCATGTTTATACCCCACCCACGGACTTCAACAAAAGTTTTTTTCCACCCCTGCTTTCAGGACCGAGAAGGCCACCGTGGGCGAAAACGTGTGGCCTATGCCGTGTTTTCTACGCTCATTACTTCCCATGGGTAGTTGGATATCAGACATTGTTACAACCCTGCAGGAAGAGCCTCCCAAACTCCCGCGTCCACTGCCTGGCTTTCGCTCAACTGTGGACTCCTGGAATCGCGAACGTGACCGGCGCCGCGTTGAAGCCAAGCTGGGCCTCCGGGAAGAAGGCAGGGCAGTGAAGCTCCGCATTCGGGCCAAAACCAAACAACCATGGTAGTAACCATGTCCAATAGATGTTTGCGGGTCCGACATGACATGGCATGGGTTTCCAAAATCTTGCAAACTCCAAGCATGTCATTGTTCATTGAAGAGCTCCAGCACTGCATTTACTGTAAATTTGAAGGTGATGACACTACAGTGTTTGTAAATGAGATGGACGAGGAGATGGTAATTGCCATCGGCTACCGGCGGGTGCTCTATGGTGACCATGGGCCTTATCTGGAGTTCACTTATCACCAGATGTGTTGGGAGGCCGGGGCCAACATTTTTTGAATATTTATTTGTTTTAGCAACTCACCCAGGGATGCCACCCTGCATGCTTTTCAACAACATGCGTTTGAAGATACTTAAGCTGTATATATATATATATGTATATTTAAAACATTGTGATTTGGATGCTGTTATATACACACTTCTACGTGTGCAATTCAATGATTTGCATGAATGCACTCACGGCTGCTAAAGCAAGGCCTTCACTGATGTTCTGCCCAATAAGCCATCACATGCCTACTATGACGAGCGCTGGACGCCAGACAACCACGTCAAGGCGTACGAACAGCGCAGAACCGTCCACAACAGGCCGAACCCCCCACCCGGTGAGTGGTCGGTCAACAACAATCGGTATGACACCGGCTATGCCGACTACCAGCCGGGGTTTATTTACATCTCTGCAGATTGTCTTGGCATCAGTGGAGTTCCGAGTGTTCCCAGCAGACCGCCCACAAGCCCCATGCGACAAACATTCAGAAGAAGGCAAAGAGGGGGCGGAAAAGCGCCCAAACCACAGCCCACGAAGGCTTCAGAGATCCAGACCGCCCACGCAAAGCTCAAACCGATCAAGGTCTTGAAGGCGGCCTCCAAGCTGAAGCCGAGCGGAACGAGACGGCCGAGCGGACCTAGTAAGCAGAGCAGACCGAGCGGGCCAAGGCCGAGCAAGCAGACAATCGGGATGATCGACGAAATGAAGGAACTCATGAAGAGACTGGACAAGTTTAATCCAGTGAAGCCTCCAAAACTTTCCTGTCCCAAGCGCAAGAGCCGCTCTAAGGACAACAGTTCTACAGGGTGCTGGGTCTGGATTGAGGACTGAAGATGTGTGAGAAACAGAAGAGGTGTGAGGCTTCCCACGTCTCCCGCTGGAGTGGGTAGCATGCAAAAAACACTCATGGCAGCAGGCAACGTCGGCTGTGGTAAACTGCTGCAGTGGTCGATCGCTGCTGTAGCCTCTCCCTTTTGGACAGGCACTTCTGATGTACACAGTTCTTTTATACCGCCTCAACTAGCTGTTGCCGCGCTGCTTGCAGAAATGGAGCCACCTGCTCACAGAGAGGTGAACATGTAAGTTGTTCATGCCACGCTTGCATGAAGGTAAGGTGTGTGAGGTGTGTGCATGTTTGCACTTTGACCGAGAGGAACAGTTTTTTTTTTGGTGTGTGTGTGTGTGTGTGCAATCGATCAAGCCGGAGGCTTTTTCTTCAGCCCGGATGAGTCTGCCGGTGGCTGCCAGGGCCCGGAGTTTCACTTCAGAGATCGGGAAAGGCAATGGAGGACTGGTTCGGGATTGGTGGGTTTGGTGAAGGAGGTGTTGTGGTGAATGGAGAATACACATGAATATGCAATTGGCACTGCTTCCTGTAAACCGTTGACGCATACCTGTGGCAGCGCCCAGATGTCACTCGGATTTGGTGCCGGAGGTTCATCAGCTCACACTTCCCTGTGTTTCTCCCGACTCTGGGGCCCAAGATGGCTCAGAGTGGCACAGCCATTCCAGAAGCAGGCTGCTAGTACAGCGGCTTTACTGCTGGCGCCGCAGGCACTTCTGCCCTGGCCAGCTTGGCGGGCGCAGCTGTGGCCGTGGCTGTGAGAAGGAAGAGTGCAACCACGTGCCGTACTGAAGCTGTGAACAAGAAGAGCGTGAAGGTTGGTAAGGATATTCCCTGGAATCTCTTCACCCCGAAAGCACCCTACCAGGGAAAGGTTGTGGAGAACGATGTCCATTCGGAGATTCATGTGACTTTCGACCATGGTGGCAAGGTTCCGGTTCCCTACATTGAAGGGCAGTCGATCGGAGTCATGGTGCTCGGTCCCGACAAGAAGGGAGAGCAACCAGCCAAGACCCTGAGCTGGTTGAAGGGATGAGCATTATTGTAGCGCATATTGATTTGCATCGTCTCCTTTGCGTTTAGCTATGCCAGGCGAGAGAAGTGCGAGGACAAGCCCGACAAGGCTGGGTTACAGCATGCCCAGACAACAAGGTCTACAACCCTTGAGATGGGGTTCTGATCACAGGCCCCACTGGGCTGGGATGCTGTTGCCCACGGAGAATGTTGGCCAACATGACGACAATGTTGGGCCACCGGAATAGGCATTGCGCCGATGCGTTCCTACCTCGAGCTGCTTTTGCATGACAAGGCTGGTGCCAGTGGGGATGGCCGCAAGTTCATGGCGTGCCATATTCCAAGTCTTTGCTCTATGATGACGAGATATGACGAGCATCAGGTCCGATATGACTACGCGGTTAACCATGAAGACAAGAATGCTGCGGGGCACATCCAGATCAAGATGGCTGAGTATGCTGATGAGGTGTGGGACTTGATGCAGGATAAGACCCACGTGCACATGTGCGGACTGAAAGGCATGGAGAGTGGCATGGCTGAGTGCTTCGGACCCACTGCGGAGAAGAATGTCTTGGTATGGGCCGAGTTCGCAAAGGCCATGAAGATAGCAGACCGCTACCATGTGGAGGTCTACTGAGAGCGCTCGAAATAAAGGAACTATAGTATACGCAATTTTTTTCGCAACTATTTAGTGGCTCTAATTTTCTGGCTTGTGCTGTGAGACGATCAGAACTAGCGACAAGCAGCAAATGGTAACATCATGGAACTTTCCCGTCACCATCATCATCATCATCATCATCATCATCATCATGACCTTTGTGGATGGTCTGGAGTATGCATAACCTGCCAAGTCTCACATTCTACTGATTGGGTTTTCAGACATGATATGGGCTTTGGACCTGCAGGAGTGCCTGGACTGGCAGCTGCGCTTTCCTCTATCGAAATGAGCCAGAAGACTTGCAGGCAGGAAGATGCAGTGGAGTTGGGAGACTTCTTACATGAAGCTTCCTGGCAATCCAAGTCTGCTTGGGTGAATTGCTCTTGTGCCAGGTGTTCCATTGGAAGCATCCGCGGAGCGAGGAATATGATTCCTGCTACAGGTTGGCATGCAAGGACCACCATAAGTGGTTCTCAAGCCTCTCTCAAGCTCCTGAATGGTCCTCATGGGCAGTTGCATGCCAATCCGTTCCGCCGACCATGGAGGAGTTTTGCTCAATGCATTGGTGTTTGGCCAAGACGGCCGCTTCCTCAGAGGAATGGATTGAGAACGGTTTGGGACTAAGCGGCCAGTATAAGGTATAAGATAAGATTAAGATTGGTACTCTATCACAGGCACATCCACACTACCCATGATCTACACTTGATTACTGAGTTGAAACTTGATTCCTGAGAAGCAAGCAGCCAGTCCAACCTGGGCCTTGACAGCCCAGGTTGCAGCCGTCCTTTGGGGCTTCACAGCGCTGCTGGTGCTGTCAGCACTTTTGTGTTGTGCGAGCGTAGGCGCCCTTCCTTGGAGGGTACAAAGCTGTTTGGCACGCACGGGCAGGATCACTTTGTGGAAGTTGTTCCCAGTGCTTGGGGCTATTTGTGCCAACGCTTGGATTCGTGAAAACGATAGAACACCAAAGGAGCTTTGCAATAAGCCATGCTGAAAGGCTACAAGATGGGTGAGCAAAGGGCAACTAATCGCCATCGCGAACTAGGCGGGCCTTATGCAGGATTTCAAGGAGTATTTTTGAATTTTGATCGGGGTCGGTGGGCTGATAGATCAAGAGGCCGACAGATGACAAGCCACTCATGCGAATCCATGCAGCATAATGGTCGCAAACATGTTGCAAACCCGCTCGGAACGTATTTATTGCAGGCAAATGCACCAGCAGCCACTCTGAGAGCACAGGCCAGGTTTGAAGTGAGTGGTGGCAAGTCACGGCACTCACCAATCGTTGGTTGATTGCCTGCGTTTGGTGGGTTCCTTTTTTGTTTGCTAAAGGCTTGGTGAACAGGGCCACAGTCAAAAACCTTGGCTGGCTGCAGTGTAGCGAGCCTTGTCCAGGCAAGGCTAGAACTGCTGAAGCATGGAGACATTGGAGAAGCTCAGAGAATTCTTGAACGGGAGATAGTGTATTGTATTGTATTGTATTCATTCGTTCATGCAGGCTGCTTTCTTGAGGCACTTTGTACGGAGACAAGTGCTTTCACGTCCTTGTTTAGCTTCTGATGACGGTGTTTCCAGCTTTGGCTTTTCGTGCATGAGACTCCGGCGCATCTCACCCGTAGATGCGCCCACGTGTCATAGCTTTGTCTCCCCTCCCCCGTAGCGGGGTGGGGCAGGGAGAGCTGGACCCAAAAGGAATGCACGACGACCGGCCGTGCCGCTGCTTGGCTGATCTCTTGATTGAAGTCGCCGGGGAAGGAAGGCTTGGATTCATTCAATTGGGGTCAAGGCCGAGCAGCTTGAAAAGACGGTATTCTGCTTCGTGCGTCAGAGATCAGAAGTTCATTTGTGCAATAGCAGCACCCTTGGGTACTGCAGGTTTCTCGCCGTCGGTATTTGCTTCTTGTCAATGGCTAGGCTGCAGCAGCTTCAAAATGTTCTTAGCTGTTTTGCAATTCAAGTTTAGCATGCTAAAGCCTAACCATGGATCAAAGCCATTGCAATGGAAACTGCAGTTGAACTGAGTAAAAGCCAGGTGATAAAGTACAGCAGGCGTATTCGAGAACTATCAAACAAAAGGCAAGCCAACAGCACGCAGCTCAACCAGGAAGATTGTGCTGACAACTGCCTTCTTTTTGCCTTCTTGTGACCACCCGGGTGCAACCGTCCAACGGCACCAAACTTGGCGAGAACGAAACTGGGCGTCTCAAAAGCCTCCGTAGCTTTCGCGGGCGAAATCCGCCCTCTGCCAGGTTACGCAGAATGGTTCGGGAAGCCCAGTTGACCTTGTCAGGACTGTCAGGACAGTGACTGGTGCCAACCTGCACTGATCCAGGTGCTCACCGAAGCCGAAAAGGCTGCCAGGGCGAAGGCTGAAAAGGAGGCGAAAGCCACACTCAGCATGACCTTGACCTGTGGACCAAGCTTGGACTTCACCCACAGTGCCATCAGGCACTGGCAGCAAAGAAAGCCGAAAAAGAGCGCATCGAAGCAGCAACATATCTGCAAGACTGTCGTTCCTTGATGCAACTTTCACCCTTTTGGCCACACTGGTTCTATGGCATCACTACGAGGATGCTACTAGGGGCTCCTGGCATCGCTACTAGGAGCAAGGATGCTACTAGTAACAAGAAGCTACTAGGAAACCATGTGGCCCTGCCACGGCTGATTTTGAGATGGCCATAGGGCAAGGTGCTTGCAGGGCTGATCACTGGACAGTCTCTTCAGACTTCATCGGGCTGGCATTTTACGCATAAGTGTGCCTGAGACTCTACAACTTATCACGAAAGCTAGCGAAGCTAGCTGGAGTTACTCTTGCGATAGCAAGGTTTCTTTCGACCGGGTGCAAATCCTAACCCCTGATTTTTCAGGTCGAAGAGCCACATATAAAGGACTCTTCACCCCTGCCTCCAAAAAGAGCGCCGTGTTTTTTCCTACCTCGCTGCCCTCCACTTTCCCATTCTGGAGCGCTAGCTTTCGCCCCCCCCCCCCTTGGCCTCAAGTGCAGTGATGCTACCAGTGTGAATTATGGACGGCAGTTCTTCCGCGTGAGCGCAGGCATTTGCACAGACACCTAGATAGTTGTGGATAAAGAATCCACTAGTCACTGGTATTGAATGGCAGGCCAGAGTCAGGAATGCAAGTTTGCCCAATGTCCATTTTGACCAAGGAGATTCGAGCAGACAGGGACATGTTCAATGCGGTGAAGAGCACCGCCAAAGAGGAGCGAATACTCAGACCTTGGTGAAAGAAACGCAGACGTCCTTGCCTTTGTCGGGAGGCTGCCTATTCTGGACGTGACTCAAATGTGTAAACACCCAACGGTCTCCTGGTAATCTTCTGGTTAACGGTTAACGTGCGCCTCCGCGCATCCAGCTCTCTGCTATGGCGTAGGAGAAAGCTGTCGCTCCCCCCAAGCTGCTGATCCGCGTGCGCTACACAGTGGATGGGAAGAAAGGCACCTCGGCCTCGGCCGAGCTGATTTGATTGGACAAAGTCGAAGCCAGCTTTCAATCTGCACGGTGGGCCATGGTTGGGGCTGCATTGTTCCTTCCTCATGCAAGCTGGCTCACAGCGCGTTTGTACAAAACCAAGAAAGCTTTGCCAAGTCATTCTTTTTTCCCTGCTGGAATCCGAGGTCATCATTTACAGTGCAGTTTGAAAACCTCCTGTCTTCTGATGTGTGTGGGTAACCTTTGGAGTCACAAGGTTCCTGTTGGATTGTTTGGTTTGAATATTTTTTAAATATTTTTCAGAATGGGGACACAGCATTTCACTGGGACTGTGTCCAACGAAGCTACCAGTGAAATGGGATATCCAGCTTGGCCAGCTGGACGTACCTGCAACCTTTTTTGAAGTTTCCGTAAAGGGCTAATGCATTCTGCAGACACGAGTGTACGACGTCATCCTGTCGGTCCGTCGCATCGCGGAGTTTGACTTATGGCCTCTAACTACAGGTGCACGATGCTGAAGGTCATCCAAACTAACTGCAACTGTTTTCTCGCCACCTTTTTCTTCTGCATAGACTAAAACTCGCCGGAACGGAGCTATGTGTGCTTTATGTGTGGCAGGTCCAAGTGCATGCCAACGATTAGTCTCAACATGCATTGGACACCTGCAGCCCAGCTTGTGTATTGCATATTTCCTTTGTGATTCAACTTTGAATCTGATATAATGATTGTGATGGCACTTTGCAACTCGCAGGTCGCAAGCCAGTGGAAGTGGACGGGACCCCTTCCACAGTGAGCCTTTTTCATTTCTATCAGGCTTGCCAAGCCAACCGCATGGCATGCATGTGCTGACCGTACCAGCTTCCTGCCGTCTTCATATTTGTGAGGAGTATATATAGTCCAGATTGTAAAGTCATTTGCATGCATGGATTCTTCAGGGTGAAGGATGCACCCTAGGCCCTAGTCCGCAATTCGAAGATGAATCAAGCGAACTTCAGTCAAGAGTCAAAAGCAGGTGAGGTTTGCACAGTTGGAGTTGCTGGCCTTCATGCATACCATACTTGGCCGGGGCCAGCATGGATCATGTCTTGTGCCTCGTCCATGTTGGCAGAACCCGCTTGGAGAGGCAATTGAGGAGGCTTTCCATGTGGCTCCACCCAAGCAGTTGCTGCAGCCTGCTGACGAGCCGCTGGCATCAACGGCCTCGGAAAAGGGCAAAAACCGCAAACGAAATCAAGGTTGGGCAAATAAACAGAGGTCCTTGAATGATCTTGAAGGTATAGATAGAAACGGGTTTTAAAGTGATGCGTATTTCATCTATTTTTGTGTCGCTGTAGGGTCTAATTGGGTGATTGGTGGCTGGCCTAGGTCCAAGTTTCCCGTCGAGCCTCAGGAGCAGGCTCGTTTGCATGGCCGGACCAGCAACCGAAAATCCATTTAGAGTCCCTCTCTACACAACGACGGCCATGCTGACTTGACAGGGGTGGAGCAACCTCTCAAGCAATGTTGACCCCCAGACCGAGGATCCTTGCTTTCAATGGGTTGAATGAGTCCAACCAAACCTATGAGCCTTGCTGGGCTTCGTGATCGAACTCGGAGGCCTTGCCTGCCTACAGCTCCTTTTCTTCCATGGAGGCTTTTCCCAGCTTGGAGACCCTAGGCGTGAGGAACGGCCAGGTGCGGGCGGCTCGGAGTGTTTCGACGGCGGTCAATTCTGCAGAGTGAGGGAAGTCTTGAACAAGTGTGGAAGAAGGAGCACGCTCACACTCACACACTTATGGATATGCACACTGTACATGTATATATTACATACATGTATTTATAGATATACTCTATGTTTGTAATTTTTTTTCACACACACATACACAAGATACATACACTGTATGTATATCTCATATGATGATGTGGTTTTGCCGGGACCATTCCTCAATGTCGCTTGACACCCGGGTCCGCGAGGAGATCTTCCTGACAGAGCTGAGAGAGGAGAACTTTTGGGCCATGGACTGATCTCGACCTTTCCAGCGGATCTCGTCCTTTCGCTTTTTTTGGGGGGGGGTCAGGATGGTACTACCGGGAAGCTGTCGGGAAGAGCATAGAATGGAACACTCTTGTCGGGCATGTTCTCCATTCTCAGGATGTGCGTCCCGCCCAACAGCCCCGGTTTTCCAGGAGGTGCGACCAGCTGAGCGTCCGCAGGACGCTCCACGAGCATCAACACCTCAGAGCCCGGGGTCCAAGCGACGATGGAAGTGATGAAAGCGGTGTGTGGATGCCCAGCCAAAAACACACATGAAATAAATCCTGTGTATTTCTCCAAGATATGGGTTTCAACCGTGGACCCTGTGACGAGGTCGAGAAGACTCAGGTGCTTATGCGCCAGGCCCAGGCCTGGCAGAGGGTGCAGTTCGTCATGAGTCATGAGTTGGTTGTGAAGCTGTCGGCCCAAGTCATCAAAGGGTCCCAATCTCTGCCCGAATCTATGGCTTTCTCTCTTGCCTGGTCCAGGCACTGGGAGTGGCGAGCTGGGCGGCCAGCCACCGGCTCCAGTGGTGCCCCCCGTGGCTCCGGCACCAGCGGCACCAGTGGTACCTCCGAAGCCAGCACCTCCCAGCGCACCAAAGCCTGGAGGCCTTTCTTAATGACTTGATCCAAGGGTTGGCCCATTGATCCATTTGGAGTTCCGACGTGTTTCATTGTTGGGTTTCAGGGTGTTTAGAGACATGGCCAAATAAGAATTGATTTGAAGAACCGTGGCACTGGGTAGTTCCACTCAAATGCGTTCTGTGTTTGTCAGGGCAGGGCAGCTCTGTTAGATATAGTGATGAGCACCGCTTGAAGTTCCTGTGGCGAAGCATTGAGGAGTGACATGGCAGGGACAGTTCACTTTTTGAGATTGTGAGGCATTCTTTGAGCCATTGCTACTACTTAGTAGCAAGGATGCTGCTAGGTGGAGGCCATCGCTATTAGGTTGGAGGCCATTGCTACTAGTAGCAAGGACGCTACAAATTGGGTTTAGGGTTTAGGGTTGGGAAGTGGCCTGGAATTCGAGATGGAGGACGCCCAACATCCGATGAGTCATGACATGTGCACGGGATGGTGGATGGCATGTGGAAGACGAGCCGATAAAGATCGCGATCCGAGGAAAAAACTGGCTTTGACCAAAGCGCGAGAACTTCGGGAGTACAATGAGGCACTAGCAGTGCATGAGGTATGCTTGCTGGGAGTGGGAGAAAGTAGTCGAGGTTGATCTGAGAGGGAATTTTGGGACCGCCCAGATGTGTTGATGGGGAGTGATGATCTTTGGAGCATGACCTGCTGCTTGATCTGGGATTCTCATGGTCCAAATTTGGGAGAATCCCAAATGGGGAGCTTTCATCACCTGACTGGACTATGTCTATGTTTCCTCAGTGCCTACGTGCACTTCCAACGTGGTCAGGCTGCAATCTGCATGGGTCTAGGACCACACATCTTCATACTAGTTTCAGCGCCCGAGTACCTGTCTCAGCCTTCTACCTGTCCTACCTGTGCTGCGCAGGTGCAGCGTGTCCGCGAGAGTCGAAGCCCCAGAGATCTCCTGTCGGAGTCTTTGGACGCGCTCTGCGGGCATCACAACGAAGCGGGCTGAACGAAAGCATGATGATGTGTAGAGAATGGCAGAGACCATTGGTATCCATTGGTGTTCGTTTCATGGTTTGTGCAATTCTTTTAACATGTTGTTTTAGCCGAAGATTTTGAGGTCCTGAGACTGACCGCTTGGCTGCCCTGCTTCTCTGGCAGAGAGAGGAGCAGGAGTTTTATTGCAGGTCAGGTCGGGTCAGGTCTGGTGAAAATTGACGTCAGTCGTGATGAACCGAACTTCTTGACGTGATGAACCTGGCCTGTTCATATATGCCGGAACCTGTCATTAAGTCACATGATATTCATGTCAGCATCAAAGACGTGATGAGCTCATGGCTCATGACCCCTGAGCAGGTTGAAGGCCGACCTGGACCGTGCGGTTGGACTGCAGCCTGTGAAGGAAAGACTGCCGAGTCTCGGAGAGAGACAAGACACAGTCCAATGGGTACAGATCGCAGTAGTCCTCAGCAGGTCGTCTGTTCTACTCTTGTGACCTTTTAACTACTGTAACTTTAACGCCTCCACGAGCTGATTGATATGATTGCTCCAAAAAATTCTGGATTGATTAGGACATCTATGTTGCAAGTGCCTACCTGGGCCTACCTCTTCACGCTTTCATTAATGTTCTGCGCATTTGCTCCGGGATGTCGCTGGAGGAGTTTATCGTGCAGCGGCTGCGAGATGCAGCCGGTCGCCACGTCCTCAAAGAAGGAGCTTTTGGGTAAATTGGAGAAGCCAATTGGTCGGACCATGCTGGGTGGGACACCTCCGACCTTTTCTTTCTCAATGTCAAGACTTAAAGATGCTGCCTTCAATGCCTTCAGCGTCTATTCTTGGAAGAAGACGCCGGCCTGAAGAAGACCCTTCCCATGTGCAGCAGGCTGCTTAGAGGATTGTTTGCAATGAAAACGGTTGGGGTAGCCTTAAAGAAGCTTTATACTAGGAGCAAGGACGCTACTAGAAGCCTCTTGCCCTTGGGCCTCTGCTAGTAACTTAGTAACAAAGGCCATGGCACCTGGTCACGAAGTCAAGCAGGAAAGCAGCCACGCCGACATGTGCTGATCAGCGGCGCTTTCGGCGTGGGGAAGCACGTGGCAGCCGAGCTCATTGGGAGACTTTTTGGACTCCTCAACAACCAGCTGGTAGTCCGGGTAGCTCAGATCTACGGAAAGCTATGGAGACATTTTGAGATGGCTTCGATGTTCTATCACCATTAGTTTTACAGCGTCCGGTGCAGCACATTTGCATACGAGGCCTCTGTGCGAGTGGGCAGCAAAGTGCGCCTGGCCGCGTGGCAAGATGCTGAGAACAGAGGCGGGTGGAAAACATGTAATGAGCCGTGTGTGCTGGGTGAGAGGTGAGAGCACACAATGAGACGCACAAGATGTGATTGGAAGCGGACGTAGGAAGATGCTGCTAGGTGCGTGCTGATCCGAGGAAAGCAGCAAGACAAGAATACTTGTTTTGCAACCACTCCTGTCATTTCGTCCTCCTTTTCCTCTTCCTGCTTCCTACAGCGATTTGAAACTTTTGGTTCATCACTGGTCACAGGTGCCCTGCTCAGCAAGAATGATGTGGGCCTCGTCACAGAAGAGTTGCCTCCGGGCTCTCCAAAGCCTCTGAAAGTCAAGGGCCCATCTGGCCGTGTAGGCCAGGAGAGTCAACACGGTGGCCAACATGTTGCAACAATTCCAACTAAGCTTCCCATTGAAATGGGCGCAACTGCTGTCTTTTCCGTTCAGCCAGGAACCTGGGGAATCCAAATGAAACCCACGGCCGGTTTTTTTCACCTTTGGAAGGCAACTACAAACCGGAGGAACTTGTGGCAGAGCCGGACTTGCTCATCTCCATCCAGGCACTCACAGAGTTGATCCTTGGCACTGGATGTTGAGGTGTGGGTCATGTGAACTGGCCGCGAGAGGAAAAACATTTCTTCGTTTTTGGCGAAGGGGTGGAGGGGTCCGAGAGCAGTAAGGTCCTTTTCATGTCGACATATGACATGTCGATGGGACATGCTTTGCCGGTCCGAGGCTGGACCCCAAAACGCAAAAGCTCCGAGTCGCAGACCGGAGCTGCTTCTACATGCGTTTGGGTGGAAGTTTGTCGGAGCAGGATGCAGAGATCTTGGAGCAGGCTGCGGGACTGGCCCTTCAGGTTCCCCGTCCCGTCAAATCTTCAGACGTTTTCGGAAACCAGGTGCCCCGTCAAATCTTCAGCGCCTGAAAAGCGTTTGTGGAAAGGGTTGCTTGATGGATTGCCCTTCGTGTTCTCATGATACTCCTGATAGGTGTTGGAGGTGGGCAGCGTGGTCATCATGGCTGGACCACCGGAGGTGGTTGAAGCCAACATGCCTCCCGACACAAGTCAGAAGGCTCTGCGAGTGGAACATCGTCCGTGTTTGGCATAGCCTAAAGTTCTGGAGTCCAGGAATGTATTGGGTATTGCAGCCGGCTTAGAAGACTCTACCTTGGCCTTGGGGCATGCCCGGCAACGACCAAGTCGTTGACGGAAATCATTGCCTTTTGAGTAGTTGGTCTCAGCATGTGGTGAATTATGCAGAGCCTTCTCGTGCGCCAGATGCCAAACCAAGACATTTTCGGGAAACCATTGCTATTGGGCTATTGGATGTTTTAGACTATTTCATCAGCGGTAGGGGCCGACGTGTCTCAGCAGAGGCAGCTCTCGGCCTTTCGCCGCCGCCAGCCGGACCTGCTGACACTGCCCACCTTAAGCGTGAATGATGTGGCGAACCTCATTGCTGCAGAGGTGGAGAAGCGTGGATATGAAGGCGTAGGCGGGACGGAAGAATGGGGGAAGGGACAGAAGAGGGCCAAGGAAAGTTCCTGCATCAGAAATAAGTGACATACAGTTACAGTATTGGGTTTTGTTTTGGTGGTGCAGTTTGTAGTGCTTGGCTGGGGTTGGTGTGTCCACGAGGCTGGGCAATCTAGACAATCTATCCATTCCATTATCCAGGGCTGGGTTGAAGGGAAAGTCAGGGTGCAGCTGGGTTGCATGTTGGTTGACGGAGAAGCATTCCTGCACCTGAACATCATCCCGAACCTGTAGTTGCGGTGTTTGTGCGTTCGATCTATCTGCGAAGGTAACGCGACTTCTGTCCAAGGTGAGGGCGACGTGGGGACCCGGCAGCTCATTACCGTTCTGGAACACATTGTGGCGCAGCGCTTCGACGAGAAGCTGATCCGAGAGAAGAATGGGCACCTGGCGCGGGACGTTTTGGATGCTTGGAGGTTTCTACCGTCGTACGGTTTCACAGCACGGAAGGGGATCAATCTAGCTTTATACAATGATGAATGCCAATGTTCAGTTTCCTTAAACATCTAGGAACCTAATCAGTGGTGCGAGCGCTTCTTCAAGGAAGCTTTGGCGTGCTAAAGGCGGCGGGGAGCTTCCTTGAAGAAGCGCAAGCTATCCCGCGCCCTGTCAGTAGTAGCTTACTTGCAGGTAGTAGCTTACCTAGCTTCTACTAGCTACTTCCTACCTAGCTACTAGCGGCCTACCCCCCCGGGCTTCAAAAACGAAACGCCAATCGGTCGTCTTCTCATCTCCCAGGATTTGGCAATCTCCCGAAAGAACGACCGCACCTGGGCAGACAGCTTGGACAGTGCGGAGCGCTTCCGCTTGACGCCCATGGACTTTGGGTTGGTGCCTCGGTGTCAGGCGATGAGGGCCTTTCTTGATTACCTACCTACCTAAAAAACCCGCATGGACCCTGAAAACCACTGGGTGGTAGATGAGAAGATTCTTGCAAGGGTCCATTTTCACGGTCCATGTTAGTCTGCAGGGGGGTAGGCCCCAGATGATGCGGGAATTCGTTGACAAGTTGTGTCGCATCGACCAAGCCATGAATGGCAAACTTGTCAAGAAAGACTTGCAAAGGGGAACTTGGCCCAGGATGTCCTCACTGCAGAACAGCGAGAACGACGCATGCGGGAAGTGGAAGCGGAGGTGGAGCAACTAGTGGGTTGGGGCAGCGAGGAGGCCAGGAACGTGCAGAGTCGCAGTCTCGGAGTTCTGTGCATATGGTCTCAAAATTCCATCTCCAAATTCCACAAGTATGGGACTTTCGTAGTGCCCCGGACAAGTAGTAGCGGCGTCATTGTTTGGACGGGCCACTCCTTTACATGTGCAGATAGGGCCACTCCTCTACTCTCTCCATTACAGAGACCCGGCGAGCGAAAGTGGCTGTCTACAGGAGGCGGGCAGTGCGCGCCATTTCTTCTTTCAGCTCCGCCGTCAACTGGGGCAAGCCCCTCGTGGCAGTGGCTGGAGTGCAGCTTCCTGCGGTGGTGCTGGTGCGATGCAAGGAGCTTTGCATATGCCACGGGCCTTGTGGGTAGCAGCCAATGCAGGCTGTTTACTTTGCACTATCCTTTGGTACCCACATATCTTTTTTCTTGATTTGCTGGAGTTTCTTTTCTGCTGACTCGTCCTGACCGTCCTCCTGGCGCCGGTTACACTGACTCGTCGCCTGCACCTCTCGAGGCGCCGGCCGCGAGACGTTCGTTCGCCTCGCCACCTGCTTCCTGCGCGCCGCGGGGGCGATCAGCCGCGAGGAAGTGAGCTGGGCAGCTCGGTTGCACGTGGTATTTCTTGGATGTCGGTGGGAAGGTCGGAATGCACCATGTCCCTCTTTAGCAGATCAGGGCCTTCATTGTTTGGGGTAGCCCTTGCAGGTGGATGGCCAGGAAATTGCGGACAAAGGAGACCCGACTGAGCTGATTGCTGCACGCTTGGTCGCTGCAGAGCATGGCTGCCTAGCCATTAAGGAGCTGAGGGAGAGGTAGGAGGAAGTCAGCCGGCCGTTTCAGTTTGTTGCCTCGGATTTCTATGGATTTCTGACTTTTTTGGCAACGCGCCTTCCAATCTAGCATCATTTTCTTCCAGTGATTTCTTGTCGGTGTTTAATGGCTTTATTTGCACATCGGAGTTGGCCTACTTGAGAAATAAAACTAGGTCACCTGGGTAAAACGATCTTAAACAGCGGAGAGTTTCTGCTTTTTTTTTTGGGCCTGGAGGGTCCACGTTGGATGAGAATCATCCGCTGCTATCGAGCTCAACCGCTTGGACGGAGCCCACTCCGCCTACTCCCGTCGCCACGACCCGCACCGTCGAGGACGTGGATGCCTTGGTCGACTCGCGGGAAGCAGTGAGAGCCCTGGCCGCGGCGTTGGGCAACGTTGATGGTGCCAGCAGTGGCACCACTCTCTTCGTGATACTGGGAACGCAACAGGCTGGGTGAATTCGTCAGCGAAAAAAGGGGTCAATTCGATGAAGATGATGAAGCGATCGACCTAAAGTTACCACCTCAACCTCAAACATGGTTTCATAGGCGCATTTGATGCACCAGAGCTTTTCATAAGAACTAAGAAACAGCAGAGATTTGTGCTTGCCATCAGTAGGGTAGTGGATTTGTCAGGATAAGAACTCCCAAACGATATAAAAACTAGTTGCTTGCAGCAACGGCAATGTCCCTTCATCAACTTCAATCAACCAAACATATTCTCCTCTGTCAACCGCTGACTGACATGCCTGGCGCTCGAGGGCCTGGCACGGATTGCCCGCATGGAACCTGCCCTCGAGGTGAGAAGGGTCCCCGTGGTAGAGGCTGTTTTTCCTCCCATCGTCTGCATTTTGTGGAGATGCATTTTCGATTGGAAAAGGTGAGATGTATGGACATTTTGGAAGTTTGGCGTGATGCCTTTGACATGTGGGTCGAAACACATTGCTGGCTTTGCCTGAGTGGTGCCTTGAAGGCCAGATTTCCAACAACTGTGCAAATCCCTGACTTCCTGGCAACCGAGCTGGTTCAGTTCATGGAAATTTCTGCCAGCAAGCTCCCATCAGGCGACATGCGGGGCTTCAGTCAGTGACTGGAGCAGAACACATTGTGAGTTGGCGCGGAATGAGTTCAATCGAGTGTTGTTCTGCAGCTCCTGAAGGTGTTTTGTTGGAGCCTGTTGATGCATGAAATCGGGAGAGCACACTATCAAAGACTTTGAACATCCTGAAAATCCTACAGTTTCCTTCCCAAAAGGCTCTCAGGCCCTCTCTTTTTGCCTTGCTTGCAGGTGCCCTGGCCTTTGAGGATCAGCTGGCACCACGATTGGCCGAGCACCTCAATGAGGTGTACGGTGGAGGTGGCCAGGGGAAGGACCCGGAAGACCTTGGCATGATCCAAATGGGTGTGACATCATCGTATCCGCGATGTCTTCTCAACTTTTCTTCGCTTGTTTTAGGTAGCAGGTAGCAGATTGGATCGTGCGTGTGAATATGAAACTCGAGATTCTAGATGATTCTAGACTACTTAGCTGGTCAACCTGCTGTGCGGTCCGCACATGTCAGCGACAGGAGTTGGGTGAGCGGGGGAACTTGGCGCTGGCGCGGCGGTTGCTTCAACGAGCTGTCCAGAATCGGATCACCAGGAAGGGCCATGCACAGCATGCGAGGGACGGTCAGAGCCTGCAGTTGATTGCCCCTGGCAAAGAAACTCACCGTGTAGTCCAGCACTCAAATTATTTATATAAAGATTCAACGGATGTGAAAAGTCTACTTGCATACACACACACTGCACAGGTATAGACGGTATAGAAACACTTTGGAATAGGTCTTTTCCATTTTTTTGTTGCCAGGCTGTTCAACAGCATCCAGGAGGGTGAGTCGCCGAGTGACACGCCAGAAAGTGAGCACTTGACAAAGGAAGACTTTGAGGTGTGCCTGCGGTTCAATGTGCGACAGAGTTTTCATTGGGTGATGTGCTGGCGCGACAACACTGATAGACAAGAGTTGTGCCCTGTCCGAAATGATGATGGCTTCAGACCTACCATGTGGGGTCTTACAAATTGTTGCCCAAACTCTCACCATGTCAGGGAGCCCCTCCTCTGCATCTTCGCGATTTTGGCCGCAGGTGGGTGCTCCGATTGGTGAGGGCCGCGAGCAAAAAGATGCTATTGACGAGGAAGTCGGAGCCTTGCCGACCACAAATTTCGACACCGGCTTGAGTGTCTGAATTTTTGTCCCAGTTGCTCCACAGAAGGATCACCCATTCAAAGCGCACACCGGAGGAATCAGGAGGCATTTGACAATTGATGAGCTCTTGTCATTTGTTCAGATTACACCGCTAGGACAAGTTTTCTTCTTGAAGGTTCCGACTTGACCACCCTTCACAACCCTTTCCCCATCGAATCCTGCTGTCGACGCACAGCTTGTCACCTCACACGGTCGACACTGGCCACGCGTACAATGGAGTTCTTAATTGCAGTCCGTCCGCGGCTAATCCACATGGATGTTGTTATAAGACCCGGTAAGATAAGAAAAGCACACTTTCTGCCTCCTGAAGCTTTTAGGCCATTAACATGTTCCATGTGATGTTCTTGCTGGACCATCGGGACACAACTTGATGGTGATTCATTTCTTCTGCTATAGCAGCCGAGTCCTGCAACTGAGGCAATTTGATAGGCATGGCCAAAGCCAAGGAATGGTTTGCGCAGGCAAGGGGCACGAGCAATTGATCCAGAAAGATGCCTGAAGCGGGTTTTGGATGAAATCCAAGATGCCATCCTTTGTAGTAACCTCTCACACCATGCGCGCGCTACAGTACTGCTGCGGTCCATTTTTCATGCTAGTTGCGGTCCGCTTCTGCCCTGTGTGAGATGCTTGGGGGGCGGATCTCCACCGCTCCACCGCTCCACCACCTGAACCAGGTGCGCCAAAAGGTCGCCTTTGTTGAGCAGACGGGCACCCGCAGCGACCTCCGAGTGTGCTTGACACTGGCAGCAAGAGGGTTGAGGTGCAGCCTCCGATGGCTGTGGTTTGAAGGTTGAACATTTGGTTCGTTGTGTGACTCCTTTTCATACCAACTGGGCTTTGTGACACGTGATGAGAAGAATGCTAGGGTGAAGTGCAAGTCTGGATCCATTTGTGTGGTGCCTTCCTTCATTGCCACTCGGCAGATTAGGGAAGACACGCCGAGGAATATCATTATAACTGGGAATCCTGGAACGGGCAAGACAACCTTCGCACGGCTGCTGGCGCGCTTCTTCCACACCTATGGGGTGCTGCCCAAAGACAGCTTTGTCGAGAAAAACGGTGGCTTTGCCATGTATGAGGGATCAAGCTGTCTTGGGCAAGGCTGAGGAGGGTAAAGAGACACACAAGCACCCATGGAATAGGTGGCAGGTTGTTTCCGCACTTATCATTCATTGCTTGGAAGATGTGCTTAGGACTTGAACTGAAGGCAGAGTTCATGGGTGGTACAGCGCCAAGGGTCAAGGCGATTGAACGCAAAGCGAATCGACGTATGGTAGGTTTGTTGGAAGCTTCAGTGAGCCAAAAACCCGTTTCATGCCGTGACACTATGTTACTGTACTTGCTTTGCTTGGTGATCTGAGCTGTTTCTGTGCAAAAGCAGTTTGAAAGTTGCTCACGTTCAAAAGCGACTTTCGCCAGGCAGCTGTCCAGGAGGCAATGGGTGGCTGCATCCTGGTTGATTAATGTCACTGCCAGTCCGGCTGAGGTGGACCATTTGGGTGACTCGAGACCTCTCATGAGCCTGGACGGTAGGTCAGGTGGTTGCATCCTCCCGGCTGCAACCTTGCTAGAGGTAACGCTCCCTCCCCTCCTCACTGCTCGATTCCGGCGCGAAACGCGCCGGAACTAAAGCCAAGAACCTAGTATCTATTAGTAAGACTCGCAGGACATTTTGTCAGACCTCCTTGCCCATTCCAAAGGACTTGAATCAAAGGACACAACACCTTTAGGAGGACCGGAGCGGGTTTGAGGCCTGTTTCTTGATGAAGCTTATGCCTTGATGGATTCGGCGGCTGGTGTGGGCGGTGGTGGAGATGCCTTTTCTCAAGAGGCACTCAGGCGGGCCCTTTTTTGTTCTTCGTGTGCAAGTGACTCACAGCGGCGGCGATCGAACCAATGTCATCTCAATGGGGGCTTATAGCGACGCCAATGAACAAGTGTTTCAGCTTTTTGACCTTTATTATAGCGTCCTGTAGATGCAGACGCTATAGTTCGCCATGAGTACTGCTTGAACCTTGAGCTGCCGTTTGCACGGGCAGGACTCTTCTCACTGAAGTGGAGAACCACCGCACCAATCTCATGGTCGTGCTGGCAGGCTACAAGGCGTCCAAGATTGGACCTTGTTTGAGGGCGCTGCTGGCAGCTGGAGCTGTTTGTGCTGGGCATTCAGTGTCGAGTAAGCACTTGTGAGTGGCCTACTGATTTTCTGCAGGAGAAGATGGGCAGATTGATGCGAGCAGAGGACACTCCCAGATTCTGGTGCGGGATGGGGGCTATGCCCAGATTCGGTTAGTTATGGGCAGGGGCAGGGTTGGTCTCAAAAGAAGATTTGACAAGGGAATATGGTGTGAGGCGGACTCAACGTGCTTTCGCACTGCGGAGAGGCGGAACAGGTAGGAAGTCTTGTCCATGTTGTGGGATGTTGCGGGAAAATCTTTTGTTGGTTCTTCCGGCAGGAGGGCTTGGCACGACGCTTCCCAAACCGGCTGCATTTAGACGATTACACACCAGCAGAGCTAGCACAAATTTGCGAGATGTGTGCCAGGCGTGGGTGTGGGCCAGTTTAATTTGGTCATGCACATTTGCAGCATCGTAGGACCTACTGGCCTATGTAGATGATCACGAGGGTAGGTCTTGAGGGGTTCCCCTGTCATTGTCCTCGTGTTCTTCAGGGAGGCACCTTGATATTGGTTGATACCGGGGTTCCCTTGCAGTTGAAACTTCGAACAGCTCGTTGCCTGCTAGGCATCGGCATCAGCGCGAGTTCGAGCCTGGCTTGAGGGAAAAGTTGGAGAAAAACATCGAGAACTTCTACTGGAGAGTGTCTGGTTTGAAAGCCTGGATGTATCTGGCCTCCTTCAAAAGTCGCCGTTAAAAACTGACCCGTGAAACGTCGCCCTTCCTTTGTTTGTTTTTGTTTCTGGCATCTTTCGAGTCACACTTCCTTTCGCCGTTTTCTTTGTTTCACCCTTTGTTTCTACCCGTTTCTCATCGCATCTGGCTCAACTGAGGACATTGCTCAGCAAAATGCAGGCCTCTCCGTGAACCTGACAGAATCTTGGCGACCTCAGAAGTCGCGTCCTCAGAAGGCACCTGCCTGGGTTCTCTTCTGAGGAGAAAGCTCTGGACAGACAGATTGTTCGAATTGTCTCCAAGTACCCGGAGGCCTGGATGACACCGGTTTTCCGATGGTTTGAGAGATTTTAAGAGTCTAGAGTCCATTTGGTGAGAGTTTGTCACTCTGCTTGGATTGATGATTTAACATGATTTAACTATCCTTTTCATCATTTGTGAGTGGGAGAGCTCGGCGGCCCGGGATGGTAAAGAAGAAGCGACACACGCACACACACACACACACAAAAACACACGCAGAGATTCCAACTTCGCCACTTGACGCATTGCACAGCGTGTGATCCAGCATGCTGTCACAGTCGGAACGAAGGCCTTTGCGCAGATGAGTCGTGCTGCTGCTCCATCAGATGGGCCTTCGCTGATGCGTCAGCGCAGCACTTTGGAGCAGGCATAGTAGGGCATCCATCATGGTGCTTGGTTGGGATATGTAGCTCGCGAGCACAGACCGCGGGAATGATTGTATATTGTAAGGGCTCCGCCCGGGTGCCGCCGACCCCTTTTCATCTCGAGGGTTTGGCGGTTGAACCTTGACAACTTCCTAGGATTCAACAGCGAGACTTGGATGGGCTTCACACCAATGCTGGCATTCAACCAGCTGCCGAGAAGAGGGCAAGGCTGCGGTGAGGCTCTGGGGAGCGTTTGAAGCCGAGCCAAAATGCCTAACGTTGCCTTCGGAAGCCATAAGAAGAGAGGAGGCAGGCTTCGGACAGGCCACAGAGAGGCCG